TTCAGTGTCGCGGAGCTTGAGCCCGCAGGCTGCAGGCTGCAGCGTCGCTTCTGCCGCTTCTGCTCAAAAGAGCTCAGGCAAACGTCTCAGCACGCCTCCTACAGAGACGTGTCCACTGCTTGTGCCCAGTTCATCGATATTCCTGTGATCCACAAGCAAAGGGGCTGTGGATGTTCACAGGGCTCCTTTCTCAGGATCTTAGGCACGGGTTCACACAAGCTCCATCTCTCGTCCCTTCGCACTGTCAAGGCCTTTTTTTGTCAAAGCAGCCACCGAGTAGTCTAAGGATAAGTGATCAGGCTATTCGCTCACTTGACGGAAGAAGTCCTGAAGGCGCAGCGCGTGCAGAGACCGCTCTTATTCGACCAATTTGATCCCAAAGGCCTGTGATCTGTTTCTTGTATTCTTGACTTCTTAGCAGCCACGCCGCGCTGCAGCAACATCAACGGCAACGAGTCAACGGAAATGCTTCAACCAAGGAAGCCACCTTCTTTTACAAGATCCGCCCTGATGCCAAGCTGCCTTACCTGGGCGATAGGGCTTGGATGAGAGTGACACAGAAGTGGCAGCTCAAGAACATTATCAGACGACCGCTAAGCTAGAACCCTCCCTCATGGTAGCTGTAGTGCGTACAGATTCAGCTGGCACACTTTGCGGCTTCCGCTGTCAGCTCTTGCAGCAACGTCTCCATTGCCTCTTCAAAAGCGAAAGGCAATGAGCACCAAAGAAACCAGTCCAAAATGCATGAAGCATTTGCCAGAACGGAGGTTGGGCAAAAGGGGCTGTTCTGGAAGGCCTCACGCGGCAGATCTGCTGCCACTGCTGCCTCGCAGACATTCGCAGACCACGTGTCTCTTCCAGGAAGCTGGGAGCGGGCTTTTCTACCAATTTGCGATTGTGCCTGCATGCTGGAGCTGCGATAACTGGCTTCGAAGCCACGCAGCTTCACCTGAAAATGTCTCAGGCACATCTTCTACAATCGCCGATGGCCTTTCTCAATAATCTTGCTTACTCTGGTACGAACACACCGGCAAGTGGCTCAAACCAGCAATTGCCTGTGTAGATACCCATGGCTTGTAACTGCACAGTGCCAAAAAGGCCAGGCCTGGGGAGCCATCGTCTTCGACGCCTCAGAGGGCCAAGGCCACAAACCAGCAACATTGGAGGTTATACAGGGATAATGCAAAAGAAAAGGGCAACTACTATAATGGGTTATATATGGATAATGGAAAAGAAGCTGGAAACTACTATGATGGGCTATGTAGAGGCTACTATCTAGATTCAGCAAGTGCTGCTGTGCTGGCATAGCCCATGGTCATGACGCACGCCGGATCGACATGTGGACGAGCCATTCCAATACAAGCTATATACAGAACCAGCTTGTCGGATCAAGAATTCCAGACCAATACCGCGGCGACTTGCGGCAGGGTCTGGAACTCAAGCCCAATCTTCAGCACTTCCAAACCGTGCCGCTTGACCATCCGTGGAATCAACAAGTCTGTACATGCGCATCACGCGCCTGCATGTCCATCCGTGCACTTCACAGGCAGCTAATCAGAGCCAGCATCGGCAGCAGCAGGCCGGTCAAGAGGCGCACAGCGCCGCTCCTCTGACCCCAGCCAGCACTGGTCACTGGATACACGACCAGGTCTTGGGGATACTGAAGGCCTCCGCGCGAGTGCGAGTTTCCCAGGGCACAACTGAGAACGCAAAAGGATATCCGAAAAAGCTGAAGGGGTGATTGAAAAACATTGCAGGGCCACAAGCCTCTCTCAGGGCCAAAGACTTGCTTACATGCAAATCCCTGCGCTGTAGAAGCATACCCATTGACATCCGAAGCCTTGTCCAAAAATCCAACGCCTTGCCATTCTGGAACCGAGATACTAGAGCTGTTTGCAGCATTGTCAGTCACACCAGTGCGCAGCACTAGGTAGCCTTGGCGAAATGACACATGTGAACATGTCCGTGCCGCTGCTGCGGTGACAGATTTCTAACGTTCAAGAAGCCTGGGTGAAAGCAGAAGATGCTGACTCCCTTCGGGTTAATCTGGGAAACTTTCGCCCTTCACTGCCGTGAAGGGGGCACGGATCTTGGAGTTGGCGCTGCCATCACTGAGGATGATCTGCAACAGGAGGAGTGGGATTAACGGCTGTGGGGCAAGCTGATGTGATCTCTCATGCACTCACACTTGCAGTGAGAGACGATGCGCAACTTACGCCTGAGTCCCTGATGCGACCAGTAGATGGCTGTGCACAAAGCCTTGCAGGCCTGGTATGTACCATCAGGAACGCCGAAGGCAGTCCCAAATGGCAGGACGGTGCCCTCCCACTGTCCTGATGGGAATCGCAGTGTTCCCTCTCGCCGCTTACCCTTTCTCATCTGCATTGCGGACCTCAAGTGAACATCTGTCCCTTGCCTGTTGAATTTGCCAGCAGCAATGCTGCCTTTGCCTCACCCGTGTATGTGTCGAGAACAGCCACCTGCGCATTCCTGCGCTTCACCCACAGGCAAATTCAGAGCGAAAAGTCCTCTGCCTGTCAATTCAAACGAGGTGCATAACTTTTGGGGATATACATGCGCCCGTTCTTCAGTCTGAATCTTCTTTTACAGGACCTGTGGACTGCATACAGATCTCACCAACCTGCGCCAAACAAAGCAAGGACATGCGATCGGTGTCTTCGCGGTTGCGAACATGTGCGACTGGAAAGACACAGCATCTGTGGTTGCGCTGCGGCGATGCACCTGAACCAGACAGTGGAATCTGGTCGCGGTCACCAGAACTGCTCAGCATGGTGCCATGCGAAAGCCTTACCACTAAAATTGCACACGTGCTGCATTCTGTCTGAACTATTGCAAACCATCTTACACTAACCGTACAGGTGCTCAAAATGCAGCCAAAGGTCGACGACGTACATGACCGCATTGTACCTGAAGGAGAGGTATAGCACGGGTTCTCTGCTAAGCCGTCGACTCACCATCTGACCGCCTTTTCCAATTGACCTCCATGAATTCTTGCAAGCTGCTTGGGCAGAGCGTCAACTGTGAAAGTGGCCGCAGGCACCTTGTCCTGGAGACACGTCGTAGGTTTGCAAGCTAACCAACGTGCGAAGACTTTGAACTGAAGTGTGCCATCTGCTCCATGGATGATGCAGTCTCTCCCTTAACTGCCCTCCCAGCGTGTCCGCGCGGAAGTCCAGCCGATCTCCGGGTTTGAGAGGCTGAGTCAAGTTCAGCTGCTGGCACTCCTCGACACAGCCATTTCAAATTCTGCTTCTGTCACTGAACCGCCTCTGAGTCGCAGAATTTTTGCACAGTCCAGAAACAAGTAATCTGCAACCCCTTTGGGAAGCGCATAATCTCCTTGTAGGATAGCGGAGAGCCTGTCATGATGCTCTTGCCCCCCATCTCCACGTGGAACATCTCATCGCCAGGATAGGCATTGCATACCTTAACTGGCCAGCCAATTGATGGCATTGGCACTTCCTTAATTTATGCACTATGCAATCGTCCGTCCGCTTGAGGAACCTTGGGCCAGGCAGAGACTTGAGGTGACAATGCTACAAGCTTATCACAGCCTGGATTCGGTACGTCAAGGCACGAGTCGTGCACACCAGCATGTCAAGGCCAGCTATGCTGCAAATCATTGTCCAAGACACGCGTAGAGCGTGCTCAAATTCCACAGGTTTCAAGAAGCTGCCAGTGCTAAGCACTTTGGAGGTGTGCTGATGGATATTTCCTGCGGGTTCATGCAAGGCTGGATGATGCGCCCTGCACTACAACACATCCCTTGACTGAGACATGCCTGCAGCTGCGAGCCCAATCAGGCCAAACAGCACCGAGAAGGAAAGCATGTTTGCACCTGCGGCCGGCTGCTGCACAGCATTCTTTGAAACCGCAAGCTTTTGTGATTGCCATGACCTTGCACCTTCACCAATAGCCAGTCTTTGTGGATGGCTAATGCGTCAATGCTTGGTGTTGGACGTGCTGCGTGAGACCAAGACAGCAGTTACAGGGCACACCTGAAGTCAGAGCGCCTCGGTACCAAGTTCTAGACCCTGATGGTGGCCTTCTCGCCCTTCAATGTCGCGGAGCTTGAGCCAAAAAGGCTGTGACGTGACGCAATGCACTCTTCATCCACATGTGGCCACGCATCCCTTCCACTGCTTGCACCCAAACTCTTTGATCCTCACCTGCATCTCTTGTCTCGAAGCCTGAGGTGAGGGCCCAGTAGCCAAAGAAAAAGGTCGTCAAGAAAGCTTCTTCGACTTCCGCAGCATCCAGACCTGAGATGCAACGTTTCATTGGCCTTAGACTCCTCACAGCGGTCTTGGTAGCTATTCCCCCTGCAGTGCCCTCAACGTGTTGTGGTTCTGTTGCAGATTGTATGGTAGCGGAGGTTCGTCATGTCAAAGCGCGTGCGAGTTCTTCGATAAAGCTGAAGATACCGTAGTCTAGCCATGTCCCATGTGCCGTAAACCTCGCAACTCTCTGCTGAGATCCAAAGATTAAAGTAAGTCCGTGCCTGTTGAAACATGAATTTATGGGCTTCAGATT